ATGATTGTGCAGATAAAGTGTGCTTTCTTGCTGTTCAACTTCATTTGCAGAGTCCACAATCTGTACTATCCACCATACAGATAATTAGAAAACAGCACCAGAGTGTAAGGAAATTAAGTTTCCTAACCTCCCAATGAAATTGTCAGTTGGCATAGTAAGTGCTTTTAGACATGTGCAGCCACAAGAAAGGTAATTATTTAACTTGCCTATTAGTTTAGTGGCTGTGAAAGGCACAGCACTCCTTGAAGCAAGTGGGGAGTCAAGGAGATGAGGTTTACACTAATCTGCTATAGGGAGGCTGGCTGGCCTTTTCCTGTTGGCCAGGCATTTTTTATAATATGGTTGTTTTCAGTTGCTTGTAACCTCATTAAATGTTTGCTGGCAGAGTTCTGGGAAAATAACAGCAAGTAACCATGTAACCAAATAGCTAATCTATGTTTAGTTAGCCTGATATGTCATCAAATTCTTCCCAAGTACGTTAATGTACAGCTAAAAATGCGAACTAGGGTCTCAACCCTGATCTGAAGCTTGCCAGGGAAGTTGGACCAGAGATCTAGGCTGAGGCCATGGCACCTATCTACTACTGTTTGTGCATTAAAATTAGTTAGGGCTCTGTATTTCAGAGACTCCTCTGAAAATTTTTGTATGTATTTCTGCTTATTGAAGAGTCACTGTTACCCATTTTTGCATTACTGGAAGTTCCTCCTCCACTCCAAATAATCAGAACTTAGAAAAAAGCCCAAAAAACCAACTTCATTCTTGGAGAAAGGGCAATGAAAGATACTGCTCAAACCCAAAGTAAGAAATCTCTCCTTGCCAAGACTCTGCAGAAGTGCTCCAGTGGTATGTGTGAATTTCTCAGGATCCTTCTGTGATGGATCATGTGCTTATGCAAACTCCACCTAACTATATTACGTGTGATTGCCAGGAAAATCTTGAGCTAAATAACTTGAATTTTATCAGTGCCCTGTTAATTCATGGATTCTTACGAGCTATTCAATCATCCAGGCATTTGAACATAACTTATTGAACTTGAAATAAAGAAATAAATCTACCCCAAGGCTCTTAGTGTTACATGCAAAATGTGGTAGCCACATGGTGCAAAGCACTGGTACTGGCTGTGCTTGTTCAAGTGAATTTGGCAGGATAGTTTGATCGTAGACTTAATTGACAAATCAGGATGTAATTTATTTGTGCCACTTTGGCTTCATGATAGATTAGTTAGCAGCTTTTTATGTGGCTAGGTTAGATGTAGACCCTCACAAAAGTGTTGAATTTTGTTTTCCATCTAAGTAGACTGGGATGTGGTGTACTTGTGTACTTGTGTATCAAACTGTACTTGATGATCTGGTCCTAGATGAAGAATCATGTGACCACTGTCTTAGTCATCAGATAACTTGTTGATCCAATGTTTGCACATATTTCATGAGGCAGTTGCCTGAAGCTATACAGAAAGCTTCAATCAAAGCTACAATTGACTGTATCAGTTAAAAATAAAGAATCAGTCATTAGTTTGTGTCTACTTGAAATGTAACATAAATCCTGCAGAACTGTCTGCTGCCTGGATGGAATCTATAAGAAATATGGTTTGCTCACAAATTAGCAGCATGTGCTGGAAGGCAAATACATAAGGTGTTGTGCCAAGTGGTGAGTCCATGGGTGTGTCTTTTGTGTCGTGTGCCTGGTATCCTCTAACTTTTCACTGAAGGCATTTTCAGCCTCCCTTGGATTTTGGTTTGTAAGCCATACTTGCTTACAAACATGCTTTCTACTTTTACTGCATTAACCAATCTGTTTTCTCTTTTTTCCTCAATTTGTTTGTCTTTGTGTCAGAAGTTTGAGTATAGTGGAGAGGCTTGTGAAGAGGCCAGTGATGTCCTGCTGGTCATGTGGGCACCTGCAAAAACTTTTCAGAAAGCTTTGTCCGCTGTGCTTGCATTTTTTGCTGTGTATTAAAAAATTGTGTTAGAAGAGGCAAACTGTCCTGGTCTCCATTCTGGAGATTTTACTGATTTTTTTATGTATGTAAGTTCTAGTAATTGAATACCTTGAAGATGAGGCTTAAAACCCTAAACTCACTTGAGTTTAATTTGTTTTGTAGTATTTTTATAATCAGCTGTAGGAATGAATTTGCAAAGGCTGCATCCAGCTGAGACTCTTTAAACTCACTTCTATCCATGAGATGCCAGTTTTTTGCTTGCTTTTTTGCTCTTGTAACCCTGGCCATGAATTCCTGTTTGATCTTTGTGAGCAAATGTGGCCATTGATAGGTAATCCAAACTGTAGCCATGTCATGTGTCCCAACTGAGATGTGGCTTGTTCTTCATACAAAAAGGGAATGGTTTCCATAACCAGGCAGAACAGAGTGTCTCTCCAAAGAGCCGGAGAAGTGAGAAGCAAAGCAGGTCATTAGAGTTTTTATAATACCCGAGTTCTCTTCTAGTTCATTAATGTGGGTTATATTGCAATAGTACTTTGTGATGAGTGAAAACCACCATTGTGCTAGACTCTTTAAAAACACTGGGAATAACCTTGCAAAGGCCTTATAAAACGGTTTAACTTATGATGAAACAGATGTTTGTGACAATGGGGGAGAAGATAATAAAACAGCATTAGTAGGTGTTCTAATGCTTGTAGTGGGAATTTCTTTTGGCTCTGAATTATTAGAAAGATTTTTACAAATATTTATTTATAAATAAATGTTAGCAAAGTCTATTACATGAAGAGAGAAAATAGGACAGTAGTTTTTATTTCCAAATATAATACAGCAGTTTTGGTCTAAAGTAAAGTGTGTGGTACACAGATTAGTGCAGAGGGAAAAATATGTGGTCCTTGAGGAATACCAGGAAAGACCTGGAACAGTTATTTAATGTTAGCTGTTTTAGCTGGTATAACTGGATGGCAGTATAATATAGTTTTGGCATCTTTTGTGGATATTTTTATTCACTGATATTTTTCAAGGTTATTGTTTTAAACATGGCCAGCACAGGTCACTGTTCAAAAACGACAAGCACACATTTTGTTGCAAGGTTATGAATTGTGCTCTTTGCTGTTCACTTCCCATGGCAGTTAGGATGCCCCATATGAAAGCACAGCCCCTGGATTTTGCACTTTGGTTCTGCTTTGGTTCACTTTGGTGAAGGAAGGCTTCTAGCAGCTTCTCACAGAAGCCACCCTGTAGGCCTCCCGCTACCAAAAACCAGGCCATGCAAACCCAGTACACCCCTGTCTTTGAAAGCTGCACTAGGGATTTTCTGTTTTCAACATTAGTGGAGTGAGTTCTGTTAGAACATAGGACTTGATGACCCTGAATGATCAGCTGCAATTCTTTGGCATTGAAGGCAAATCAGATCGATTAGGATTACATTTCTTATTCTTTTTGAGTCAGAACACTACCAAAGATTTTGTTTTCAAAAAGAGTCTGTTGATACTCTTGTACAGTGTTGTTACAGGATATTATTTACAGCCTAGTCAACTAAGCTTTCAACATGTTGTGTTTTCTCCTATTTTGCTCACCTTTGAATTTGGTAGTGTGTATATGTTTTCTTGAAATAATTCTGGTTTTGGTTTTGAGCTGAAACTCCATATATCTCAAGGAGGTCACTGATGAACACTTCTCAAAGGTTCAGATGTGATGATGTTTAGGGCTGGTTTTAGAGTGTCTTGCTCTTTGGGTCAGGGAGCTCTGGGCTTTGCAAAGTCAAGCCTTGAGCATCACCTGTCTAAGCAGCTTCAAGGACCAAGGATGCACACTGTTAGCCATGTAGCTGCTTTCTTGAATTGCCATTTTAAGTGGCTCTGTAGCCCTCTGACCTGTCCTAACAGGTAGCACTTCCTGGGAAGCCTATGGTTCTTGTCGGTGGGAATCTTGCATACTTAGCATCTGTTGTAGCTAGGTGAGATAGAAGCTATTTGAGCTTTCTTTTCAAGCAAAACTGAAAGACATTCCAGATATTCTGCTTATATCTTATAAATCTTTGATCCATCCAGAGGCTAAAGGCTTGCTGGTCATGACAGAAACATGGACTGAAATCCAGCACTGACAGCCAGTTGCACGTTCCTGCACTGAAAAAATTGGGGCACTTCAGGTCCCTGGGTTGAGCCCTGCCATACAGTCACTGATGCAGAAAGAACTAAGGACTGTTGGTCCCATTAGCAAAGCACATGACTCTGTTGTTCGCATAGGGTCCAGTGGTTGTCATTTGGTCTCCTGCAGTGTCCTGAAGCACCCAGTGTGTGTTTAGAGATCATTTTATGGCCTGGATGCAGACATGGTTTTGATTTAAGTGGTTAGGAGAGGGGGACAGGCTAGCTCTAACCTTCTGTGAACTGTCCATGCTCATAAAATTAAGTTGCTGTGTCCTGCTGATTACAGCTTTCATCTGGGGTTTAACTTGTGAGAATAGAGGTCATTTTATCATCAGACCTGCTCTGGTTGTGGAGTAAATATTCCCTCCTTATACAAAGGTGAAAACTGTACTCTCTCAAACAAAACTTTTGCACTAAATTGTGTACAAGGAAGAACTGCTAGTTTGAGTAGAGACTGAAGTTGAAAACACAGTTCAGGCCAGGGAACCACCTGGAACCTGCTGGAGGTGAATGAGTGACCGGCAGCAGTAAAGTGACTTGCACACGCACACAGTGACACAGTGACGTAGGGGGAAAGGGTATTGTGTGCTAGGATGCAAGTGCTGGGCAAATTACCCAAATCATCACGAAAAGCATGACACCAGGCACTGGCTCAAATTCTGACGGCCCTCTCGGTTCCAACAAATTTTCTTCAACGGCATGTGAAAGAAAACGCTCACTTTTCTGCGGCGGGCAGAGCTGAGGCAGGCTGCGGTGCCCAGGTTACAGCATGATCCGTGTGTCCTGACTGCCGCCCTGCCTGTTTCTCTCCCCAGATGCCGGACACCCATGTGCCGAGCGGCCCCCGCCCGGGCCGGGCGTGAGGGCCGGAGCCAGCCGCTGGCACTGAGGCGAGCAGCGCCGGGATCGCCATGGCCTCGTCCCGCCGGGCCCGGCTCCGCGGCCCTCCCGACGGAGGCTGGGGATGGATGATCGTTGCTGGCTGCTTCCTTGTCACTATCTGCACCAGGGCCGTGACAAGGTAAAGGCACTCTGCTTGTCTTGCTGGCCTCTTTGTGGCGTTAGCTTTTTTGGTTTCGTTTTTTTTTTTTTTTTTTCCTCCTCTTAGGAAGAGGGTTTGGGATCTCCTATGATATTCTACAGTCGACAGGGTTATTCTGGTTAGGTATAAACTTTCTCCTGCTACATTTTCCAAGGCTTCCTGAAACCCCTAAGGCTGCGGGGACAACCAGGGGATTATGAGCCCTCTGGCTTTAGTCTCGCCTCCTCTGACAGCTGCTCTAGCTTTCAGCACCCGCTCCCTGATCTCTTACAGAATCAAGGCCTGGGACAGGTAGCGCTATTTCAGGCTGTGGTGCTTTGGCTGGGGAGGGAGCAATCATGTAGGGTCTCTTCGGGTTCACTGTGTCCCTCTGACCCCACAGCCGTGCTCATTTTTGCCAGTCCCAGTGAATTTGTGTGACTCCTGAGTCAATCTGAAAAGCATGTAAATACCCCCTTCTCCTACTGTGAACATTTCAGGTACTGTCCTGCCTGAGAAGGGCCGAGCCCTGGAGAAGAAACCCCTCTCTACACCCTTCTGGTATCCAAAATATGCAGAAAATATTCTCTCGAAAATAGAAAGAACAGGAATAGACTGCTGCCTTGCATAAACATAATGCAATCTGGGCTGAGATTGCTTTCACAGTGACTTTGATATCAACTGGAGACAGAGGAGCCTGTTGTGTGTGAACATGGACAATTTAGCTATATTAAGCAAGGAGATAAACACCCTGGCAAGTGAGGAAAACGGAATGAATGTCTTGTTGGATAGTCAGTATAATGTAGATATAGTGTTTCCTACCTAAAGTTCTTATTTCTTTTAAAATAAAGCTGCCAGATTTAGGGATCTGAAGTCTTTAGGGATCTAGGGTCTTGAAGTCAACAGCACAGAAGGGGATAGAAACACTTATACAGTGTTAGTTAATGTGTACAAATGTACCAATTCCATTATAACAGTAGAGAATTCCTAGTGGATTTAATTGCTTTTTCATGTGTGAAGTGTGTTACATCCATGAAATCATCTCATGGCTGGCACATGTTAGACTACATAGAAAAATGGAGTATGTGCAAGAAAAAAAGTAGAAGTGGTTGTTCACTGATTCAGGAAAAAGATGGGGGAAAAGGCATCTCTTGTTGATCCAGAAAAGAGAATGAAACTATGCAGCCTTTTAGTCTGTTCCTCTGCAGGGACATGTTGAACAGTAACGCTTGTTAAGCTGAGCAAAATAGCCTCTCCTGGAAGCATTTTATTAAACTGCTGGAAGGTCCACAGGCTCCTGCTGTGTTTTGATTCTCTATTTGAGAGGAGTTAACTTTGCTCTTGTCCATCAATGAGCACATAGCTGCAGGTGGTGTTTGCTCTGTAGGTATTGTATTGACCCACTCTCATGGTTTGTGCGGGTCAACAGCAACAAGGTCAGTGAAGAACTGTGAAGCCAGGGCTTTGTGTGCCAGGGAAGCAACATCATCATATGGGCTACAAGTTGCTGGTGAGAATTAGCATTTCAATTTTTTTTTAGTTCAAAATACTATGAGTAATAAAAACTCTAGCAGCAGACACCCCAGAAAACATGTAAAAGAAATATGTGATATTACAATGTTCATGACTACAATTTTGATTTTCCTAGGAGTTGGAGAGGACCTTCAAGTGGGTACTTTTTATAACTGAAGAGTGAGACCAGTGTTTTCTGTGAGGCAAATATTCCATGTTTAACAGATTAGTGTTCATATTTTCTGTCCTAGGTGCATTTCCATTTTCTTTGTGGAGTTCCAGGCATACTTTGGGCAGGATTATGCCAGAACTGCTTGGATCCACTCCATTGTCGACTGTGCTACAATGCTTTGTGGTGTGTATTACTCTTTTACAAGTAATGTGGCTGCTTTTGTGTTGTGTCCATCTGGTTTTAGCATGCTCAGAAGTTGGTGCAGTCAGCTGGGAAAGAGTGATACGGTGGGATCTTTGGGGTATGGTATATCCAAGCTGCTTCCCCCAACACAGTTGTGAAAGGGAGTGTCTTCATACTAAAGAAAAGAAGCAGAACTTTGCTTTGTGAAATGATGTAATTTTTCAGAGATGTACTTTCGTTGAGGTCTGCAGGGACACCCCATGTTCAAGAGCTGTTAACTGAGCCATTGTTTCTTCTGCGTTTTGATTAGAGTCATATTTGAGATGTAGCACAGGATGTACATCTTGCCTCCAGATCAAGTCACAGCCATCCTTCTTTTATCAGAAGTGTGTATTCACAAATAGTCTTCTCTCTTAAAAGAAAATGTGATATTAAAAATCACGTGCATCGATGCAGTGGTTGTATGAATTTCTCATGGGTTTGCTTTAAAGCTGTACAGCTTGGTGGTAATCCATGCTTTAGTCCTGTAGAAGAGGTTAATCTGTAAGAATTAGACAGAGGGACACAGCTGGAATGAGATGCAACAACTCACCTGTGACAGCCAGGTTATATCTTGGGGAAAAGAGAGAAGTAAAAGTAACCTTGCACTGGAATTGCAGATAACAGAGGGGGAGAGTGCTGTTGATGACATCCCATGGTAGAAACAGCGAGATCTGGGAGGAATCAGTGTTGGAGAAGTGCTGGAGAAGGGTAGCAGCCCTGGAGGTTGTCCAAAGGAAGTGAGACCTCTCCTGTTTGTGTCTAACACAGAGCCCACAAGGCCAGGGAGTTGTGAGGAAGGACACCTAAAGTTACTGAGGGTTGAAGTGCAAATTCCAGGTGAGGAAAAGTCTAAGTGTTGTAAGCAGAGTAATGAACAGTGTGGGCTGTTGCTGTGGCCTGTATTGAGCCCTTGACATTGCAGATTAGCTGTGTTCCATAATGACTTTGATCTACAGAAATGGCTGCTAAGAAAGCTGCTGTAAGTTTCAGGTTTATCCTGACTTTCAGGAAAACTACTTTTAGAATTTTTTTTCTTTATATTTGGTGCTTATGCCATTGTGACAGGGGTGTGTTGGAAGATCACTCTGTAGCTGCAATTACCATTTTCTCCTGCTTCCTGCTGCTTCCTTTTCATTTATAACTGTTGCAGTGAATTGTGTGTGAGGACCCGCCATTAACTACCAGCTTTATTTGTTTCTTTGAAGCCCCTCTTGGGAGTTTAATCAGTAATCATGTATCCTGCCAAGTTGGTATCATGCTAGGAGGGCTGCTTGCATCTACTGGACTAATTTTGAGCTCATTCGCCGCCAGTCTGGAACATCTCTACTTATCATTAGGAGTCCTCACAGGTAGGATGCATTCAGCCCCTTTGTTGCTGCCAGAACACAAGACAGGAATGCTAAAAATGATGGGTGATCTCTTCTCCATGTCATATTTGCACTGCCCTCATCAAACAGAGATACTCAGACCAGTTCCCATCATTGTAAAATAGAGACTACCCCAGCAAGAGCTTCAGCACTGACTGATCTCATATAATGCAAATGCAGAACCCTGCAAAAGCAACTCTTACCTTCTATTAGAAAGAGGATTATTGATAAAGTTCTGAAATTTTGGGAGGTCAGGAAGGACTGCTGTTGCAGCTGGTATACATATAGATGAAAAGGTTTCCCTGTTTTGTCTGGGACTTGGGAGGAGTTTGTTATAGCAGAAGTTTGAGACTGCCCTAATATATTTGCATATTATAAAAAAGTTTAAATCAAAACATAAATGTAAGTAAGAGGTAAAGGAGCTCTTGGTGAATACCAGGCACCTCAGCTGTATGCCTTACTTTTGTCTGCCTTACATTCCAGTTGAAAAGCAAAAAAAAATTGCTGGTTGGTAGTCTTGCTGTAGCAGCTCTTCCATTTTTGCTCAGGTGTGGTGAAAACAAATCTTTGCTCTGTCCTATCTACCTGTGTTTGTTGTGCACAGAGGAACTTGAGAGGGGCCCGTGGTCACACTGACATTCCTTCCTCATTAATACTGACCTGGTAGCCACGGTGATATAAGACCTTGTACTTGGTCCCCTGGAGTTTAGTAATAAGTTGGTGGAATTACTGCAGTTCACATGCTGCCAACAGCTTATTTATTTAAAAAAAAAAAAAAATCCTTATTTTAGCGCATGTTGCTCCTGTATTACAATGTTAATCTTTGACAAATGTGTTCATAACAAATAAAAAGGCTTCTTGTAACTCGAGGGACTGTGCTACATACCATGCTAATACCTCTGAGGCTTCCTTAGTGGGAGCTGCTGTGAATACAGAGGTGGAAAGGCAGTTACAATTTGTACATGGAGTAGTAAAGAGCCAAGTTCACTACAAGCAGTGAACTTTTAGTCTGTGGGGACCAGTTAACAGAGAGGTGAACTGTTGGTAAAGGCTAGATGTGGTGCCTTCAACCCAGAGAGCAGGAAGGACCACAATAAGTGAATATCTAAATCCATAAAAGCAGCAGGACTTGAAACCAGAGTGATGCAGAGGTGAGACTGGGGAGTGTCAGTAAGCAGTAGAGTTCCTTCTGAGATGTATGAAAATGTTTTCAGCCCTAAATTTTCCACTTTTCACAGGGCATTTGTTGGCTTTTTTGAGACCTATTTCCCTCTGCCAACTCACTAGAAATTAAATGGTGTGTATGCCTAACAGAGTATGACTTTCATAACTCTCAAGTGATGATGTCTAGCTTAGGGCTGCTCCTCTGGCTCTGCTGCCTATATGGGTCCAACCTCAGCTCTGTGCCCGGCTTCTCCCCTCGCCTCCTGAGGGGTGCCAGACTGGGCACCTGCCGCCCAGAGTCCCTCTAATCCTCTTATTCCATCCTGGCAGGTTTAGTGCCTGCCCCACACAGTGTGGCCTTTGAGGAGGATGTGGCAAGCCAGTTACAGCACTGGGGACTGTTTTACCCTCAATGTAGGACATGCTCGAAAGCCCTAGTCAGGAACTCATTTCTATTACTGATTCAGAAATACATATTTTAGTGTTAGGGCAATGACTTGATGATTAAAACTCGCTCTCTGATTCTGCAGCAGAGACCACAATCTTTTTCTCCATCCAAGAGATGAATCTTATTTGTTTACTCTACTGGATCTGGCTTTCTGAGCCAGATCCTTTCCTCCCCCCTTTACTTGTAGGCAGAGATTTAAAATGGTCAGGACTCCAGACAGCTGTTGCAAGGAGTTTGTTTAGTGGACCAAGAGAGGTTTTTTTAGAATATTAGTAACAGAGACAAGCTCTTTGTACTGTGCTTCAGAGACCTGAAAATTAATGTTCAGGGTTGCAACAGACCAAAACACAAACTGGTGCCTCATCAGGACAGCACGTCCAGTGCCAGCATTGGTGCAGACCCTGGGGAAGACCTCATTTAGCATGCAGGAGACACTGGCACACCAATTCTCTCATGTTTAATGATCATCCTTGTTCTTGTTATGAAGTGAACCCCATCACTTCTGTCTGAGTCTTATTATTGTGAATTAATGATCATCAGTTAGGTTTGTCAAGTCAGTGACTCTGCCAGTGGAAGAAAGACATCATCCTAGTTGCTCATCATATTCGGACTGGGCTGCGTGATACAGAATAAGAAAAAGCTTTCTATTCATTTGTACACATTATGTGATTTGATTTGATTTAATATGTTCCATATGTCATGCTTAGTATTAAGCCATCTGTACTTTGCTTTCTCTTCTAGGACTTGGGTTTGCACTTTGTTATTCTCCAGCCATTGCGATGGTGGGCAAATACTTCAACAAAAGGAAAGCACTGGCGTATGGAATAGCCATGTCAGGAAGTGGAATTGGTACCTTCATCCTGGCCCCTGTGGTCCAGCTCTTAATTGAGCAGTTTTCCTGGAGAGGAGCTTTGCTCATTTTGGGAGGTTTTGTTTTAAACCTCTGTGTCTGTGGTGCCTTGATGCGGCCTATTTCTCTTAAGGAGGATTGTAGAACTGCTCCTGAGTTTCTTGAACAGAATTATGTCCCTGAAACAGAGAAACAAGACTTAAAGCGAATGTCCATATGTCCACCTTTAATCAAATTATGGCCTCATGAATGTTTATGCTACTGTTCCTGGAAGGAATATGACTTTTTGCTGATGCCAGGCTTCATGGTGCTCGCAGTGTCAATTTTATTTATGGCATATGGCTGCAGCCCTCTTTTTGTCTACCTAGTGCCTTATGCTTTGAGTGTTGGAGTGAGTCATCACCAGGCTGCCTTCCTCATGTCCATACTTGGTGTCATAGACATCATTGGTAATATCACCTTTGGATGGCTCACAGACAGAAGGTAAGGGCTTCTGGCTGATCAAGTGTAAGCTTTAGCTGGTGGGAGGCTAGATGCAAGCGAGGTATAATACATATAAAAGTTAACATTATGGACTCTTTCTGTAACTTAAAAAGACCCCAACAACACAGTCTAACTTTCAGAAATGCTTGCTATTTAATTTTTTGTCTCTTCTGAGTTTGTTCAATTCTGCTTGTTTAATATATTTTTTTCCTGAAAAAATGATGTGTTTGTATGTTGGATAATGGAAATGTAACCCCTTGCCTGAGGTATGTTGAGCATGATTCTCTGTATCTGATTCATGGGAGATTTCACTCTGCTTCCTCTGCTTTTCCATCTCTTTTGTGCTGCTGGGGAGGCACAGGAGTTATGGAAGAGGGTCCAAGGTCTGGCCTAATACTGTTAGGCACAGACTAGGAAGGACTGTCTGAAAATTGTTATACATTTTCCAGTATATAAGAACTCACCATGCTTTGTGAACTCAGCTCACTGTAAACATCAGTGTGCAGCATCTGTAACACCAGTAGATAATGGCCAAATTAACTAGGATTTTGATTCTAAAGGATGCATTCTTTGCACTTATTTAGGTTGTGGGAAAAAAAACAATTACTGTTTTTGTGGAGCAGGAAGGAAGGAAATTGCCATCTCACTTAACTCTAACTCGCATTTAAGGGCTGTCTGGAAAGATGACAGCTAAGAGAGGTATACTGCAATATTTTATGCGTAATTCTGGGAGCACCTTGCTGAGCTGGGATGTAAAGCCCAATGAAGTACTGCTTTGAACATTGAAACTTCAGGGGACTGAAAATTCCTGGCAGCAGAGTTCTGTCACTAGGAACATCCTGAAGAGCACTGCAGGCAGCATGGCTGCTGCTGGCCAGATGTTTCTGCAGCTGTAGGCGGGCAGCTTTCCATACCTGGGCTTGTGTGCTGAATGAAGACTTGTCTAAGGAAATGGACTTAAATTTGAGCTATAGAAAAGAGAGAGAGACTGAAGCACTGCGTGGCAGAGCATAGAAGTGGAGATGCTGGTTTCAGTGATAATATTTTTCTTTTGTTTTGAAATTTGCAGGTGTCTGAAGAAGCATCGGTACTTTTGCTACCTCTTTGCTGTGGGAATGGATGGCCTATGTTGTCTTTTCCTGCCAGTTCTCCAAAGCTTCCCCTTGCTTGTGCCTTTCTCATTTACCTTTGGCTACTTTGACGGAGCCTATGTAACGCTGATCCCTGTCATGACAGCAGATGTAGTGGGAACTTCTTTATTATCATCAGCACTGGGTGTTGTGTATTTTCTTCATGCCATACCATATCTAGTGAGCCCACCTGTGGCAGGTCAGTTTTGCCAAATGACTTTCCTATAATTTTACCAGTACTTCAGATTTATGTATTGCTGTGATGTTAAAGGGGAGGAAGGACAGCAAATGCACAGTGAATGTGAAGGTAGCCTCTGGGTAGAGGAATAACACACCTGGACATTCATAAGTTTTTAGATCTCCCATCCTGGTCTCCGTGGGATGATTTCTACATATAGAGTGAGATGAAATGTAAAAAACAAACCAGTATGGAATGGGCTTCTAAGAGCTGTTACATCACCACTTCATGTAGTTTAGAAACTGTGCAAACAGAAGGAGTAAAATACTTCACTGTGAAATTACATGATTTTGTAAAATCTAAATTTCTCTAAGAGAGTTTAATTCCAAGTTGTGTGTTTGTGTGTGTGTACGAGACTTGATCTTTTAGTCTCTACGTTGCTTTGAACAGGTGGGTGAGTCATCTCCACTCCTGTTTGGTCACTAGATCATCCCTGTAATACCTAACCGTCATTTTTCCCATCCGTACCATTACAGTGAAGTAAGGATGAGCCCTCTACCCTTATTATCCCTTAGAAAGCACTTGACACACTTTTTGATATTATGGAAGGTCTGAGATATTTTTCAAACAATCAAGTACATTTTTCTTGAATATTTTGTCTGATGTTTACACTTTGTTTGATGTTTCAATTCCAAATTAATCACTGCTCCTGAAGCTTTTAATTTAATTTTCCATAGCAAAAATTATCGCAAAATAGAATTAAGCGAAGCATGAACCTGGGCATAGCTTAATAAATATTTCTGCATGAAGATCTTAGAGCTCTCTAGGCCTTCTAAAGACTGCCAGTTAAATCCATGCAGTTGGAAGATGTTTATTTAGTAGTGTGGCTCTGCCTTTCCTTCTGGATTTGAGCTCCAAACAAAAGGCCATAAAGATATTATTTGCCTGCTGAGAATAAATCCCTCTCTGCCCCAGGATGTAAAAGTATAGTGATGGTGATGTAAACCTGTATTGTTTGATTGCATTTATATGTGATAGCTCCAGAAGTTTATAACTGGGTCACAGGATTTGTAAATTATCTGCCAGAATACTGGTAGACCTTTAAAAAAATTTAATTTTTTTTTCTTACAGGTTGGCTTGTGGACACAACTGGCAGCTATACTGCATCATTTCTCCTGTGTGGATTTTCTATGATATTTAGTTCAGCACTATTGTGCTTTGCAAGACTAGCAAAAAAAATCAAAAGAACACATTTGCGGCCCCTCACGGGTAACATGGCCTTGAAACAGCACATCTGGACAAATGGAGCAATAGCTTATTCTGTCACAGCAGAATTAGACCAAAGGGATGGTGAATTTTTGGCTGTGGATACAAACAGCTTCAGCAACAGGTGACAAGTGCTGTTGAGATTCAGTATGGCATAGCCTGAGGCAGACGTGGCTCTGTGGTGGTTACACTGTTGAAGATACTTCTCCTGTGAAGCAAGACATCTTTCAGTTAGATTTTTCTGTCCTGTTTTAGTTGGCTTAAATCTACATACAACAACAGTAATACCAAGTTAATGCAGTAATAGAAAAAAGCTACACTGAAAACAGAGTTTGTAGATACAAACATTCAGAGATTTCTTTGAAATGCAATGTTGGTTCCACAGGTATCAGTCACCAAAACTGACCAATAACATTTACATTTAAAAATATCATTAATGACACAAGATTTTTCATTTTGTGGTCTAGTATGTTTCAATGGACTAATCACACACACCACGAAAAAATCTCCACATTTATCAATCTGTATGAAACTCTTTGCAAATGAATTTTTCAAATGCCAAAGTCATGTGTTCGTTTTGCTTCTGTTTTTTTGGTTTTTTTTAAGAAAATCTGGCAGGAAACTGATTTATGCTGAAAGTATCTCTGGAGCAGCTTTAATTTTTACAATGTCCCTGAACTTTGTACATACATTGCAATTTAATTTCAAATATTTGAAGCGTGCTTTCCCACGTGCTCTCTAGCAAATTTTACTTTTTTACTTTTTTCTTTTGGATACCTTTAAAATTTGAATTTCTAAACATTGACATTCTGGGTATGATCTTTCAGCTGATCCTTGTCTTAGAGAGTGGAAAATGTGCTGTGGTGGCTCTGCTATCTGAAGAGGAGTGAATTTGTGCCATGGGACCAGGCATGCTGATAGATAAATGTGCTTTAACTGCATTAGTTGGAAGAAACCCAAAGGCAACCCGAGAGACCAGAGAGGCTCCTGTGTTTTCAAACACAGAGCGTCTTCCTCTTGTAAAATCAGCATCTATTAGAGAACTTTAGAATCCATGCAACCAGATGGCTGAGAGATTGCCCACCCCACAGGCTGACAGTGGAGAGGATGTTGGCAGAATTGTTTCTGTGTATTGCAGTGGCAAATCTGTCTCTTTTCAGACCCAGAAGCTGCATCTTCATGTGGTGCCAATTGCTCATTTGTACCATCTGAAGAGCTCTCAGGTCACTTTTCCTTGATGGCCAGAACACAAGAGCTGGCAGTGACTTGATGACAGTTTGCTGCTACTTGTGTGAGGAAAATACTCCAGTTGGCTGCTTCACAGGAGCTAGGGAGTGAATGTAGCTCCTGGAGTAACTTACTGATGTGATGGTCTAATAAATACTGGCATTCTCTACTTTTCCAGAGTGAAAACATCAGCAGCAATGGAAAACTTCACATTCCACAATACAAATAGTTTCAGTGTATTGATGCCACATCAAACTGTATTCTGTTCATTAACAAATTGATCTGAGTCCAAATAATGTTCATTTACACTGAACTAGTAATTTTTTTAGTCTGCAGTGTGTTGAATGGCTGCTCATTTTGTGTGTCTTTTCCACTCTGTGCCTTGTAAGTGAAAGCAACATAGACTGATGTTCACCAATTTGATTTAGACCAAGAGTACAGCCATAGGAGTATAATGTATTTATATATATACACACACATATATATATGAATAATGTGTATCAAGTAGTTTTATTGTCCAAGTGTATAATATAACGCTTATATTTGATACAATATATTCAAATATAACATATTAAAATTGTTTGTGTTTAAATGAAGCGTTTCTCACTGTCCTGCTTCAGGAATGTAGTCAGAGCCAGTAGCATGATCTACGTGCACAGACCATAGAATAAATGCGAGCAGTGCAAAATCTACTTAAAGCCAATGACATAACTTTTCTTCAGCTCAGCATGAAAATTGAGTCTTGGGCCCCAGTTTCGTTTTTAACATATATTCATAAAAAAAGACAAAAATTATCCATGGGTGTTTCTTAATGAGTTAGGAAAAATATGCACATTTGGGAAAAAAATTAATTGGTTTTATTAGTTAGTACTGATGAAGATAATTTTTTAGAACTTTATACAATATTTTAACATCAAAAAAAGTAGGGAATAGTGTGGTCAACAAAAAACATAATTTATTTTTAACACGTTATAAATTACCACTGTAAATAAATTTACAAAAATTTAGTTACTTTGTTTATCACATCACAACATGTCACCTGTTGTTCATGTCAGAGCTGCATATTGTAAAAGCCTGTTGGGATAATGCTATGTGCATTTTTATTATAGTAAATTATAGTGTGTAATACATTATTAGCATTTTTTATTATTTAAAGATTTTATTTTTTCATAGGCTTTTCCCTTTTTGTTTTTTAAGCAGTACTTCTTGTTTTAAATATCTTGTTTAGCAGCAAACATTCAACTGGTTTTATTCACAGACCTTTTGTAGAAAATGGCAAAATTCTTTCAGGGTTTTCCAACACTGTTTCTGCTCTGACTTAAATCAATGGAATAAAGACTTTTGTGCTTAAAACACACTGTGAAATATCAGCCCTGTCATGAATGCCCCCAATGAGAAACAGAATGAAGGAAGTGTAGCAGGAAATGACCTGCAAGTGTAAGAAATGGCAATACAATCCAGGCTGGTGAAGCCTCATGCCAAACTTCTACCTCCTGCTCCACATAACCCAGGCTCAACAGGTCATCTTCATCCAGCCATGTGAAATATTCCAAGCAATGCATTATAGAATCTCTAGGTTACAATAGTTTTAAAGAATTATTTACTGTATTGGCAGCTACAAGATAGCTGAGCTAACTGTGAACAATTTTCCAGATGAACACTGCATGTTTGAGGATTTAGGGGTCCTTTCCACACTTAATGATCTTGTAATTCTATGTTCCCACCAGCCCTGATGGGCACATGCATTGATGGGTAGGAGCTCAGCTGGAGCACTGCACTGCTGAGCCTGTCTGGCTTCCCAGGACAGCGTGGTGGGACTTGACTTGGGGTAACATCTGTCCAACACAGATTCTACCTCAGATGGATCCTACCTGCAATTATGCTCTGTTCTGTGCAGTGGATGGAAATTCAGTGTAACTAAGTGAAACTGCTTGCAGCTGCTGAAGTTATCCCATCTGTCTCCATTCCATGAGGTTTGAAATGGGAAAATAATAATTATTTTGAAATAATTTATATCCTAATGATAATCTGGATACATTTAATAAATTGTACCTTGGAAAGTTGTGTGAAAACAACATTGGAAAATCAAGTACCTTCTGCTGAAAAATTACTGGTTTTTCAGAAAAAGCATTCCTGAAACATTCCTGTCAGCTTGGATAATAATTTACCTCCTGAAAGATAAAGGCTGTGTTACTATATGGTGAATGTATTTTATATTGCCACAACAATGCCTTGTTTGCTTTCTAAAGTGTTACAAATTTATGTGAGAAGGAAGAGCTTGTTAAACTGTAACACTACTTCATGGTCAGCATAGCAAAGTCCTTAGTGGGGAATAAATAAATAATAAATAAATAAATAATACATTCTTCTTAGTGATTATTCTGGTGTATTTCAGAAAAAAAATTCTATATACTTTAGAAAGTGCTTTTGAGTCATGAATTGGTACTTCCTGAAGGGTTATCTTCACTCATTTTTCCCTCTACACTGCTAGCATCAGCTTCAGTGATGTATTCATACTTGGGTGTGAATTGAGAGGTGTGTTCAGCCTCTGTGTAGTTCTAGTTTTGCCCAATGGATGTGGACTCTCCAAAATGTGTGTTTCATTTAGTCTACCTCCAAAGCTCGAGCTCAACCTGCTCCCCATGTCGGCACGCCAAGCAATGCAGCAGCACCACCCTGTGGGAAGTAACGTTTTTCCTCATTTACAAGACAGGCAAAATCCAGAAGGCTGTGTTTGCACAGAGCATCCCCAGGTAGTACTGTGGTCCAGAGCAGTCCTCCAGAGTACAAAGGAGGTGAGGCACAACAAATACACTTTTTGCATTACTGTGTTCTGCAGTCAGTTTCTTCACTGTGCAGATCGAGCTGCTATGACTCTTCATAAAAATTCAGGCTCACTTTTTTTTTTTTTCCCCAAATAATTTATAGCTTATCCTTATTTCTTGAAGGTTATTTTTTCAGGAGATGTCCTGGTCACAGTGTAGAGGGGGGAATGGATGTACCACGGCTTTGTGAATCTGCACCACCTCTTCCTCAGATTCTTCCCTGTTGCCCTCCCCCATCTATGCCCTCAGTAGAGTTTAGATAACAATGATGCTGAACTTAGAAGGCCTCAAGATTCACAAAGGCAGTGAGGTTGTCTAACAGACCCTTTTTCCCCCATAGCTGGGCACACCAATGTTGTGTCACCAGTTCCTGACTTTGCCCCCACTGCTGTTCCAGCTTTCAGGTCTGTCAGAACTGTTCCCAGTCCTTCCTGTTCTCCCTCCTCACCTCTCCTTCCCTAGGTAGGGTTGCCTTTGTATGTACCAGAGAAACTGACAGGTGGCTGGGAAACAAGGGTGAATTTTGCTCCAGTTCTTTTTTAGGAAGAGGGTGTTTGTAATTATGTACAGTTGATTGCTTTTGCTTGTGTTATGAAAGATTCTCTGAAGGAGAACTAAGAGGGAAGAAGTTTATTGATATTTTGTGGTTTGGCATTGGTGTTTTTGCTCTCCTTCATGGCTTGTCATCCTGTCTGTAGAGGGGTGCTGTTGCAGGTGTGGGAATGCTCCAGGATGGCTAGAAACTAAAGGGCACATCCTTCCTGATGGGCTCTGTCACCAGTTTCCTTCATGCTGCACTAGTGGCTAAGGCTCAGAAGTGTTTAGGAAGTAGAACATTAGTTTTCCCTGAGTACTATGGTCTATCAAACAAAGGTACACTACTGGGAAATTAGGCCAGGATGTTCCAAAGAGTATTGAATTTTACTTGGTTATATGAAGACAATCACCTTGCCAACCCATTCTGTCATTTCAGTCCTTTCTTCCATTCATGTTGACCCTATGGGCACCCACCCCTTTTCCCACACACCCCTTATGTTCCTCTGCCCTGCTCTGTGGTGCTCACCCAACTCTGTTCTGGCTGTGCTCTGCCCTCCATGTCCAGTTGAGGTCATTTCTTGTGTGTGTTTGCTATCCCTTGCTTGTTTAATAAGCATGGCCACAGCCACTTCTTTGGCATCTCAAAGTCTGCCTCTCCTTCCCCTCCAAATGTTGTGGATGCCCAAGGGCCTATGACCAAAAGCTCCATCCCTCAGCCATGGAAAGGACACCATGAGTAATGCCTCCCGAGGTTGGGGTGGGAGACGCCTCACTCCCATAGACCTCTGCAGCCATATTTTAATGTTTATTCCCCCATTGCTTTTACCAAGTTGGTGTCACCCAGTTCAGCCCCCCTTTTACCTTATATGTATGCTCCCTAGGATGTTCTTCCACCCCTGTTTCCCCATTCTTTAGTGCAGTGGTCCACCCCTGCTATCCTATCGATTCCCTTGTTTTATTACCCCACCTCTGCACCATTTTCCCCTGTTCCTATTGGACCCTGACCCTTTGATCTGCCCCCCCTTTTCTATATATAATCCTGGACCCACCCTTGTCACTTGTCTTTGTGCCTGGACCCCTTTGATGTGTGGCTGTAATAAACCCTGTTGGAACTCCGTACAAAGACCCTTCCTGCTTTGTTTACTGACAAGCTGTCCGTGCCCTGTGTGTGTGGATTGTGTGTTTGTTGTGTGCCTGCCCGAACGCCTTCACCTGGAGACGCTTTTGGGAAGGCAGCAGCATTTACCATCCGCCCACGCTGCTACAAGACGTTTGCTGTAGTGGTTCCTGATAGGTAAACAAGACAGATGCTGTTTTGTGCACAGTTTAATTCTTTGATGCAATGCCCCTGGAGCCAGCTTCGCTGAGAGCTCAGGGAAAATAAATGGGGCTGTCTCCTCAGCCTTTTGTATCCTACCAAAACTCTGTCCTTCTTACTTTTTTGATGGCTGTTTGTCTTAATCTACTAACATGAAGGCTGGTCATCAGAGAGATACCCAGAAGCAGCAGTTGATGGATCCAACAGACTTTAGTAATTCACAACAATAATACACATTTTGTAAGCTTTCCAGTGGACTAACAAAATTGTGTTTTTATTTCATAATTAAACAGCATACAAGGTAGTAAACTGAACAAGCCTTCAACAAAGTTTCTTCTACAAAACATATTTTTGAAATGCTTAAAAAAGCTTCAGAATTTCTATTTGTGTATAAGCATGCCCTTCAAGTGTACAGACAAAACACTACAATATGATTCCCTTATCTTTTTCTCAGTAAAAGGTAATATCTGATTTCAGTGTTGCAGTTCTGTGTTCTACAGACCATCGCTTAAATGTAACATTTATACCCATGTTAGCATTGAAGACTAAGTTAGATTAGCTATAAATATATATTACGTAGTTATCCAAGCATGTTCTCTGTTAGTGAATGAACAAATGAACAATCGTCTGCAGTTTCTACATTATGACCAGAAACAGATGCCACCCGAGTTCCATCTGGTCATAATGTCTACCTTCAAATGAAAAACAAACAACAAAAAAAAGTTTTGAGAGCGTTGAAAGGTCCTTGGGGATATTTTGGTACGTAGGATTTTTGTGAGCTTTAGCTTGAGATGGAAAGTTGTAGCTCAGCTAATGCGTTCAGATATTCTTCATTGTTTGGCTCCAAAGCAATGGCTTTCTGATAGCATTGAATTGCTTCTTGTTTCTTACCATTTAGGTTATGAACAAGTCCAAGTGTACCAATATCTGTGGCTCTCAAACCTCTCTTAATTTTCTCTTTCAACAATATCTCCACAGCTTCACTGCACTTTTTTCTTCCATAGGAATCTTTTTCCATTTTCAGACCTTCTATGTAATACTTAATGGCTTTTGATTCTGACTTCATGTGAAAATGCTGAAAATTGCCATAATTGAAGTAGATAACTTGTTTGTCATCACAGGGTATATAATTTCTCAGAAGCACTCCCTGAAATACCTCTTCTGCTTCTTCATACCTCTTGGCTAGTGCGTATGTGTTTGCAAGATCACAATGGGCACAAAAAAATACTGGCTTCTTGTCTATGACTGTTTTAAAATGAAAAATGGCAAGCTGGATGAGATTCTCCACTTCCTCTTGAGGTGTGTATCTTGTCTTTTTCAATTGAAGTGCCTTGGTTCTGTAGCAGAGTCCTAGTTGGTGATGCAGAACGACAGCGTTTGGTGTCAGTACTAGGGCCCTCTGCAAGATCTCCACTGCCTTGTCTACTTTTCCTTTCTTTCTGTAAAAATTAGCAGCATATCGCAGGAAAACAGGAAAGTCAGGGGTTTTCTGCAGTCCTTCTTCAATGTACCTCTCTCCTTCATTAACTCTTTTTAATCGCTGAAGTTCTAATGCAAGTAGCCCCATAATGGTAGTGTCGTTTGGATTCAGTTCCACTGCTCGCTGCAGGGCCTCAAGGCATGGCCTCACCTCTTCACCATACTTCTCAGCACAGTCCTTCAAGCGATACATTGTTATTGCATAGCCAGCATTAACATCTGGGTTATCAGGCTCGCTCTTCAGAGCATTTTCAAAGCAATTCTTTGCCCTCTCAAAGTAATTCCTCCCAAAACGTAATAATGCCCATCCTTTTTCAGTGTAGATCTCTGGAAGCTGAATCTTTCCATGAGAAGTACTTGAAAGCTCTTTGCAGCTGTTTTCCACTTTGCTTACATAAGTTTGAGCTTCTTCATATCTCTGCATGTGGTAATAGATCCAGGCATAGTTCCCCCAGGTAACAAGACTCTTCCTGGCAATTTCACCTGGATGATATTTTTGAATAGCTTCTTCAGCTTTTTTGAGATTTCTTAGGGCTTCCTCATCTGAATTCTTTAGGTGGCATACATAGGATAGTATATTATAATCTCTAATGTTGTATTCTACGACAAACTTGATATGATCGAGTATTGTTTCCTCTAGGGCCTCAAGACTTACATGCTTCTCCAGCAAAGTCCATGTAAAATGGCATTCTAACTGCAGCAGGGAAGTCTTCAAGGAATCCTTGGAAATGGTACTAGAAGAAATCAAAGAAAAAGTTGTTTATACACCATTTTCTTTTGCTATTCTTATTTTTAAACCAGGCATGATGTACTTTAAAGACAGGCAATACCTCACTTGGCACCCTTAGTCCACAATACTTCTTAATTGCCAAAGGTGTAGGGAACCCCCTGGGTCTAAAGTGCTGAATAGTGATTTTAGTAATTCTTCTTGCCTGTGTATGAGGGCACCTCTTACATAGGAACAGCTGTTTCTGTGGATGTTAAAGTGGAGGACTGGTCTCTGCAGTAAAGCTGGCACACCCTGGGCCTCAGGAACATATTTCCTGTGCTGGGAACAATTGCTGAAGCCTACCCAGAAGATGTAATCACTTGAGATTCCCTTAAACTATAAAGAATGTGATTTAGTCCATTTCCTAAACCTGTGTACATGTTATGGTTTGTATTATAAATTGAATTTTGAACTTCCTGTGTTTTTAGATACCTGTATGTTAAATCATAGCACCATTCTTAGGTAATGGTTATACTGATTATATGGTTAATGTATGCAGGAGTTGGGTCCCAGATCTCACCAGCCTCTCCAGTTGCTGGCAGTTGGATGTACAGCCCACGAGTGTGCGACCCCATTCCACTTACTGGTACAAACCACACACTCACTATCCCTGTGACAGCTCCTCAGATGCTGGCTCTGGACATCCAGTGGCTGGTTAGGGAGCTTCTCTCTCTCCCCAGGTGCCTCACCCCTAGACACACACACTCACACACCCTTATTAACCAGACCCTGGCAACATAAAACCGGTCCTTAATACCCCTTTATACCTGGTGTGGTTTAAGCCCAGCTGGCAGCTAAGCATGATGCACTTGTCTCCCCATCCCCCAATGGTGAAACAAGGAGGAGAATCCAAAGTAAAAATTGTAGGTTAAGATCAGAATTTAATATTTTTTAATAACTGAAACAAAATAATAACTATATAAAAACTATAATAACAGTAAATATTAATAATTATGATAAAAGGAAAAAAAAATAAGCCTCAAAGGAAAACAAGTGGTGCACGGTAAAATTGCTCACTACCTGCTGCCTGATGCCAGACTCTGTCCCTGCACCCCAATCAGCCCCTTTCCAGGTAATTTCCTCTGTTTATACACTGGGCATGATGTTCTCTGGTGTGGAATATCCCTTTGGCCAGTTCAGATCACCTGTCCCAGCTATGCTCTCTCCAGCTTTTTTGTGCACGTCCTCACCAGCAGAGCATGAGACACAAAAAAGTGTCTAGGTATCTAAGTGACTAGGTGTCCTAGTTTAGGAAAGAGGAAAAAGGAAAAAAGTCCAGGGAACTCTTCTGCCTCAGCTAGCTAAAACTAGCTAACCATAAAAGAAGCTCTGTCCCGCTGTCTGTCTGTGCTGCAGACACCACAGTCCAGGAGCAGGATGCTGGGGAGTGATGCTTTTCTTCAACACAAACTGCCCGCTTCTTCTTCCTCCCCTTCACTCTCAGAGCCAGTCTTAAAGGTGCAGAGGATAACATAAACCAGGCGACTGGGGATACCAGTATCATAAAGTCACTCCAGAACATTAGGATAAACACAACTACAAACAAAATGTGTGATATCCACATAATTGGCATAATGAATCCAAAACACTGTACCAGCTCCTAAGAAGAAATTAACTCTATACTGGTTGAAATCAGAACAATCCCTCTCCATCTTTCAACAGCTTTTTCTTCCCAAATGGGGCCTGGGAGCCACCAGGGCAGGGTGTTATCTGGGTTTCCCCTGCTGCCATTGCCCACCTGTGTCCCTCTGTGGGAGCACAGACCAGCCTTTGTCAGAAAATCAAGGGGACACTTTTACAACACAGAGATGACATTTTAGTCCACACTGTGCTTTCTCTTAATTAAAGAAGGAATGACACACAATTCTGTTACTGAGACTTCTCAGTCATACCCTCCCTTCTTAAGAAGACTTCCTTGCTGTCTCTCCTATAACACCCCGCAGGTCTAACAGCCTGTGAGGCACAGCATGTGCTGCTGCTCAACTGCACAGTCAAGCCTTTTGGGTAAAAAAAGGACTGAGTGGAAAATTTGCAAAATTATGAGGAGGAAAATCAAGGAGGAATATCACAAAAAGAAATTTGAGAGACAGATTACACCCCTTTGGCTGGGCACCAGCTGCACCTGCTGCAACCTGCATTTCATCCTCACACTACATGCACAAAATTTTTCTGACTTTCTGTCCTACTCACAAAGACTGAACATCATTGGAGAAGCAATAACATGACGATATTCAAGAGCATCTTTATTTTATTTTGATTCGTCTCTAAATATTCTGTAAATTATTTTCTGTTGTTTGGATGCTCAAAGTCCTTCACTATTTACATTTATGTAGATAATAAACATTATTTTCCTGTAACATAGAGGAAAAAAGCATCTTTCAGAGGCTGGATTGCTTTCTTACCTCATGGTTTTCATTCTCTGCTTGCTTGTCTTCAGCCTCAAAGCCAAAGGAATGCTGCCCACTGTTGTTATGCCTTCCATTTTATTTGGTCTAGCCCTCACATGGTCTGTGACAAAATTACTGGAAAACAGAAACTGAAACATAGCTTTTCTCTGGGCTTGCCTTAGCAGAATAGTCAGTCTGCAGCTGAAGAATTGAAACTGTTGAGTCACTCAGCTGCTCTTTTTCAGCCTGGCTCTGTGCCATGTATTACTTTGTGTTGTGGAGAATGTGGGAACAGCTCCTAATGCTCCCAGCGTTTACTCTGTTCAAAGGCAGAGACATCCATGATAACAAGAATATTTCAGGCTGCTGTGGGCTGATTATCATGCATAGGCTAGGGAAGGGTCATTTGCCCCTCATGCCTCTGCATATGCATCTGTGCACAATTCTGCTCCATGCTGTAGGCTCCTGTTTTATTGGTGTTGTGTCACCCACATAACACACACACAAGCCTTTATCTCCCCTCTCTGCACTCTTTCATCCTGTGCCTCCACACCACGAGGTCTCTGCTGCTGTACCAGCCCTGTGCTTTTCTGCACTATGCCATTGTCTAAGAGTACTAAATATCTACAGGGAATGTTTCTTGCTGCTCTGCAGATATTAAATGCAAAAAGAAGAGAACAGAAACTAAGCCACAGGCTTCTCATTCTAGCCTGAGAAAACATGAGAAAGAATCCAAACAGTCCTTGGTAAAGGACAACAATCTTTGCAAGTGATGTTTATGAAAACAGTCAAAAGATGATGTTACACTTAACCACTGATAGCAAATGTGTTGCTTTAATCACCAATGAGAGTTTTACCTCTCAGACCTTCTGGAACATGTCTATAAAAAAGATTAAGAATAATAAAATTTTCTCTCCTGTTCAACATACAAAAGAGTCTGTGTCTTTCTTCTCGCCATTCCCAAATAAAGCAACACTGCTCTCCACATAAACCCACGACTATCCTTTCACAAATCAAAGATAGAGAGGCAGTCACTTTGAGAAACTGCTGTCACAGTTGTGCTAACCAAAACAAAGCTGCAGGCAGGTCAGGACAAGGTCAAACTGAGCAGACCTGGCAGGCCTTGGTCCCAAGGCCATGCAAAGCCAGTGCAAAGCTTACAGTCCGATGCTGGCAAGAGCAATGCCTGCTACAGGCTGCACACATGGCAACAGAGATGGGAATGGCCTGGGGACTGGAGCATATACCAACAACTCATTGATGCTTACTTTAGAAAAATAAAAAATGCAGACTATTGTCTGCAAAATTGGCTTTGGGGGTGACAGAGAACCAAAAAATAGATTGCAACATACATAAATGGCACCATATATAGTAAATTCAGATGTAACCTGAAGCTGCAGACCAGGGAAGAAAAAAAGAGGTGTAAAAATGTGTTAGCAAACATAAAAATTACTCAGACTGGATCCGGTGAGAGGAAGAAGAAACCACAACCATCTGCATGATGGCGAAGATGTTAGTACCTGGTAACTGTTCTTTTCCCTTTTTTTCTTCCCTTCTTTTCCCTTTTTTCCCTCTTCCACTGTTTCCTTCCTTTAAAAAAACCCCAACACAACCCAAGTCTCACACATTAGAACTTCCAGTTTCTACAATAATTTGGAGAGCCTTAGTAACACACACACACACCCACCCACTGTGCCTCATTTAAGTGTCTGTTTGTTTTCTTGTGTGTTTGAGTGTGGAGGGATTGCTGGAGCTGATGTCTCAGAGCTCAGGATAAAGGTTAGTACAGCTACTACTCTGAGGAGTAGTCAAGATTCTAGCAACCAGGTATTTGATAGGTGATGAAAAGAGGCAGTGGACTGAGAAGGAAAAGGATTCGGGTATCTACACAAATCCATGTATTTTATGGAAAAGAAAGGTTGTAGGTAGTTACAGTAGAAATGTTTGAAAGGTTACTGCAATGACTAAACCAAATGTAGACACTAATGATTTACTATGTTGGAAAGTATCTATGGGTTCCTTGTCTCTGCTTCTGCCCCAGGCATCTGTTTTCCTTGCCACACTGCTTGATACATATGGGAAAATGCAGGCATCTTCCTTCTGAAATGCAGAACTTTGCCCTAGCTTCCTTATTTTTTACTAATTTAGTTGCATCTATATGCTATGGTTTGACACAAATGCCTACTAAATAAAGTAAATGCAGGAAAGTGCTTAAATTAGAATAAGTAAGAGAACAGTTATGCAATGCCTTTCTGCAGCCATCTCTGCTTTCACTTTCACAGCAAGCTGTAGCTGGGCTGACTGCACTCAGGAAGAGCTGCACTGCAGAGCAGCAAATGCAGAAGCTTCTTGAAAAACATGTCAGGGAACAGACTGGGAACAACAAATGCATTCATATTTACTGAAAGATCTTTGTTTACTTGAATGATCTGTATATACAGAAGAACAGGCAATGTCTTCAGACATATCTAAACATTTTATGATAGAAAATTAATATCTGGACATTTCCTTGGAGCTGGAATTGTTACATGCTGACAAAGAATCCCCCCAAGAAGCATTAGGTCAGCCAAACAATTGTCTGAAATGCAGTTTTCCTTTTTTAAAAGAATGTAAATTAACTATACCATAGAAAATTACAGGGTCCCTTTAAACATCCTATTTTATACTGGTTTCCTAGCCTAGCTTAGCATATGATTACTATGTTTGACAGCAGCAATTGTGGCATTTTATAATTTGGGTTTTCCCTTAGTAGGGAGGAGTAACCTGTAATTAATTTGACAAAAAACTCAAGTGAATCACTGAGCAATAATTTTCCCACCCAAATTATTTAAAATCAAACAGTTTTAAGAAATGGCATCCAGGAATGCAAAGGGTCATATAGTATCTCTGTATCTAGTGACATATCCACATATCAAAACATGGGAATGCTATGAAAACATTTTTGTTTTTTTTTTAAATCTTAATGCTTTCTAAATAAACAGTAACGTTTCTGTTCTTGACATCTTGATCTAGCGCTGCATATATAGTATCACTTTTCTGTATTATTCAATGGATATTACTATGGGCCTGGACAGAGTAACAGCAACATTTACTTTGAAGGATTGAATTCGGGCCAAGTTTTTGCAAGCCCGGTCACACACGCCCTGACCACAGGGGACACGCTTCTCTGGGAATTATGGCTGCGCAACGCAGTGCCCGCAAATCAGTTACCGCAGAGCACGAAGATGAAACAGCTTTGCAGGAAGCTGCGATGGTAACCCTGCATGCAACTTAGGCCCATTTGTATGAGGTTTGATATGTTTAGGCAATGCTCGGAGATGACGTGCTCAGTGTAAGCGCAGCAGCGGCTGCTGTGGGCGCTCCGGCAGGACGGGCGGTGTCCGAGCCGCAGGTGTCCGGGCCGCCCTCCTCGCTGCCGCCGCTTTCTGCGCGGAGCCCGCTGCGGAACCACCGCGGAGCCTCGCAGGGCGGCACCGTGCGGGCTCCTGAGGCCCCGGAGGCGGAGCAGATGCAGAAGACGAGGAGGGAAGCGAAGCAAATCCACGATCGCCGCTGCGGAAGGCTTGTGGAAATGGAGCCGGGGGCGGGGGGATTCACACAGCAATGCCGCGGAAGCGCCGCCTCACGCGGGGCCGGGCGGGGCCGGGCGGCGGCGGCGATAGGGCCGCGCCGTGTGGGCCGAGCCCGGCCCGGCCGCGCCGCCCCCGCCGCTCCCTCCTCACGCCCGGCCCGGCCCCCGACCCTGTCACCGAGGGCCAGCACAAAAGCCTCGGCCGGGCCCGCTGGCAGCCGTCGTAGCGCCAGGTTCTGCTTCGCCGCGGTGTCCCGGCTCCTTCTCGCAGGACGAGGATGCGGGGCCTGGTGGTCGCTGCTTTCCTGCTGCAGAGCATCGCCGGCTCGGGCGCGTTCGCCGCGGGGCGGAGGAATGTGGACCCCGAAACGAACATGAACATCGTGAGTGGCGGGGCCGCGGGGAGGAGAGCCCGAGCCCGCTCTGCTGGAGCGGGGCAAGGGGAGGCTGGGCGAGCTGGGCTGGCAGCCGCGGTGACAGCCCCGGCGCCTTCTGCCACCTGCCAGCCCGCTCACACCCGAGGCTTAAGCGTCCTCTTTCTCTACTCCTCCTTCCAGGTCTTTCTTGCCTGTGTTTGATCTTTCTCTCACATTTTTTTCTGACCCAGACCCGTGGATTTTTGCTAGGACAGTCTTTCGGAGCCTCTGTAAAAGCGGATGTTCGTGAAGCACGGCGAAGCTCCGAGCACCATGCTCCTGTGCTCTTACCCACCGCTGCTTTTCTCCCCACTCGGCATTTACTCTCTTAACTTTGTTCTCCTGCTGCTGCAGTAGCTAACTCCTGAAATATTTCCTGTTGGTAGCCGGTATTAATTGCTCTTTCCTCTGCCCTGTCTAAACTGTGCCAGTTTTTCACATGAGAAGATGCGTCAAGATAGAAATGCTTAGGTTGTATAAGAATAGAAGTGCTTGGATCATGTAAATACAGTTTAAAGGACTGACAATAGTGATTTAGTCTAAGGCAAATAGCATTGGAATAGCACGTAGCCTTAAAATAATTTTGGGATGTTAAAGTCACAGTGAATAATTAAAGACATATTTTTAAAAAGCAGTATGCTTAATTAAATTCTTCTCCTCTTCCTTGCCCCACAGTCCAAGAGAAGAACTCTGATTATGTCATGCATTTCTTAGATTTTCTCAAGGCATGGTTGGTATCATAAAACCAATGACATAGCAAGTTCACTGCCCTAGTGCAGTTGCATCAAAATAAAATAATATAAAGCCCAAGAGATAAGAGATTAAACTTAATAATGAAATCATAGCATAAAACAGGTGTGGGGATTTTTATTATTATTTTCCTGTTTGCTTTGACAGCAAAGTCAGTTTAAAGCTCTGCACTGGGCATGAGGTTTGAGGAGGAAGGTAAGAAATGGCACATCCTTCTCTCTTTCTATATGCTTCAGCGGTGCCAGTGACTTTCTTCTGTCCTCACTTGTTTGTTACATGTTTTCTTGAGACAGTTTCAATATTTGACAAATCTGGGTCTTGGTGTTTTGCCCTGTTACCATAATCTCCTTTTCAACACTT